CCCAGAAGTCTGGTTACTCAAGGTGCTATATGAAGCTAAAAACAACACACACTATTCCCTACCTTATCCCCCTACCCACTGCATAAAATCTCATTGCTTCATCTTTGTGAAAAGACAGGTCTGAGAAACTGATCTTGAAGGAGCTCAGGAAATTTCACTGTAAAACATGACTACTTTGTGATTCTCCCCATGCACATGGTAAATAAACCTCTTTCTCTTATTAATCTACCTTAATTGTGAGTTGGTCTTTCAGAGAACCTTCTGGGGCAACAGGAACGTTTCCCCTTGCCCCCACATTCTCCTGTCTTCTTGCTTTGGCCAAATTGAATAAATCTTTCTCTATCTCCAAACAATGGTGCCACAGTGTTTGGCTTTAGCTATGCATCAGGTACATGAGCCTGAATTTGGGGTTCTACAACAAATCTTTGTTCCACTTAGAGTTTAACCTGCCATATGTGTGAGGAAGAGATTGAACTTTTATCTTTTTTTGTATAGCTACACTGCTATCTCAATACCATTGATTTAAAATAAAAGTCCATCCTTACCTCACCAATTTGACTTTGTACTAACTTTCTATATGCATTTGGTTCTATTTATAGACTTTCTATTCTGTCCCATTGGTCTGTCTACTCATGTTCCAGGGACTCAGTGTGAGATTTTTTTCCATTTTGCAAGGTTAGCTCAGCATGGTGGACAGAGGAAATGGACAGGTACTATAACAAAGAGACCCAGTATTTTACACCAGTAGTTTAAACAAGATGCAAGTTGATTTGCATCATTTTAACAGTATAGAGGTGAGTGAATCAGGGCTGGTGAGGAAGCTTTACCATCATTGAGTCCTAGGTGGTTATCCTAGCTTTTGCTATCTCTCAGTCAGCAGAATGGGGAAAATGGCCAGAAGACAGCAAAAATTTTCCTTTTTAGGGTCATACCAGTTGCCTAGAACTTGGTCACATGTCCACTCCAAGTTTCAAGGGAGATGGGAAAGTGTAGTCTCCTGCTGGATAGCCATGTTCCTGACTAAAACTTAGGAGTTCTATTCGTAAAGAAAGGGAAAATGGTCCCTGCTACAGTGGTAGTCTGATGCTAAGGACCCCAACATAGAAGATATTGGGGCATTTTAACCTAAATAATGGCATAAGCTCTTTCCTCCAGGAATTCACAGTGGGAGACTAGTATAGAGGAGTCTAAGGTTCATATAGACTCTACCTTCTTGCCCTCACAGTTGTGGGGTTCCCTTTGCTCAGAGTTTACTATTTGTTAGCACTGTTGTGCACTTTCTCTTTCTTTCTGTATATGTTGCTGTATATGCTCATTTTTGTTTGTTCTTTTCTAATTGCTTTACTCCCATGTCCTTGGAGATATCTATCCATTTCTGAGGCAACTCTTGGGGCTTGTTAATGAATTAATTGATAAAAACATGCCTCCCAGGGAACAAAAGTCAGGGACTGTGTATACCTCTGAATTTCCTATCTCCCTTCCTCAGTATTTCACTTGAATGGGATAAATACTAGACAATTTAAGTAGCTCTTTTACATTTGCAGAAGACTATGTTTGCATATGAAAAGGGATCTGGGTTTTAGACACTGCTAACAAAAGTATAGGGAAAAAGCCACAAAGGAAAGATCCTATAACCTAGGGAGACCACATAATTTATCACCTAAACTGGGATACTTTTAAACAATTTAGGGTAGTAAAGTAATTCAATATATATGAAATGTTCACCTATTGATTGACAATTTGGTGTTATTATAGTGGTGGACCATAAAAGGCCAGTATCAACATTGGTCGGATGTTTATACTACCCAAAGTGATCTACATATTCAATGCAATCCCCATTAAAATACCAACATCATTTTTCTTAGATCTAGAAAAAATAATGCTATGCTTTGTGTGGAACCAGAGAAGACCCTGTATAGCAAAAGCAGTCTTAAGCAAAAAGAACAAATTAGGAGGCATCAATTTACTAGACTTCAAACTATAATACAAGGCTATAGTAACCAAAACAGCATGGGACTGCCACAAGAACAGAGACATAGGCCAATGGAACAGAACTGAGAACCCAAATATAAAACCATCCTCATATTGCCATCCTGATTTTTTTAGACAAAGGAAACAAAGAACTATACACTGGGGAAAAGAATCCTTATCAGTGAAATGGGTGGCTGGGAAAATTGATAGCCACATGTAGAAGACTGAACACAGGATATATAGCTTCTCATCCTCTCACAATCAACCTCACCAGGTAATAATGAACTAAAGCCTGAAGTTATGAACTATAAGAATTCTAGGAAAGATTGTGAGGAAGCCTCTTGATAGACGATGGCATAGCGCAGTAATTTATGAAGAAGACCACAAAGGCAATCACAGCCATAAGAAAATAAATAAAATGGACCTGATCAAATTAAAAAATCTTCGCAAGCCAAGGAGGACGTATGATGAGAGCAAGACAGACAAGCCTGACAGAATGAGAGAAAGAATGTTGCATGCTGCACATCTGATAACAGGCTGATAACAAAGGAAGTCTACTATAGGACTCAGGAATCAGCAAGAAAAATTATCCAAACAACCAGTTAAAGAGGTGGCAAATGACGATGAACAGAAAGTGTTCAAAGAAATACAGAATAATGGAACAAACCACATGAAAAATGCTCGAACACCTCTATCATCAGGGAAATCCAATCAAAAGCCAGCAATTGAAGATAATCACTCTTAACTCCAGTAGAGAGGCTTTATCAAAACAAGCCAACAGATGAAATGTTGGTGGTGAGCGAAGGGAAGAGAGCACTTATATACTGGCTGGTGGGACTGAGAGGACTTGTGAACCTCTGGGGAAGCGAGTCACATAAGGGAGAGATCCGCAAAGGAGCTGAAATAGAACTGATGATTTGATCTAGAATTCCCATTTAGCTGGGCATCTATCTACCAAAGGAACAGAAACGAGGCCATTCGCTATAAAAAAGAGCACCTGGATCGAATGGTTATAGCAGCAGCCACGTTCATTAATTGCAAAGATTGAAACAACCAAGTGCCCATCAATACATGAAGTGATTATAAAAGTGATAGTATGTTATATCCGTGATGTTCTACTCAGGCACAAAAGCAAATGGGCCGGGAGCGGTGCACCGCGGCGGAGCGTAGACGCGGGAGCGCGAAGCGGGGGCGAGGCGTGCTCGGGCGTCAGAGTGGTCGAAAGACCCCCTAGCAAGTGATGCGTATGACCCGTTCTACTATAAATATGATAAGAATATTATATGCCAACTTAATGTGGGTGGTGTATGATGATATGAGTTAGTGTGTACGTAGTAAGTAATGTATAAAATTAGGGTCATGGTGGCACATGCCTGTGGATCCCAGCTACTCGAGGCTGATGCAGAAGAGTAACTTGAGCCCGAGGAGTTGAGGTGCTGTGATAGTGACCACCACGCACGTCAGCCTAGTCTGGGGCAACAGAACGTGAGACTCTGTCTCAAAAAAAAAAAAAAAAAAAAAAATAAAAGCATGGATCTAGCACTCTCGTGTATTATCCTTGCTACAAGCTGCGAGCCCACTCGACTAGTGAGAGTATCACAAAATAAGAAAACAAGCGAGGCACATCTATAGCTCACCATCAAATGGTATTAATTGATCAACAGTTATGTGCAAGTACAGTGATGAAGCCACTCAGGTTGGGTGTTGGGCATTATGGGGGTGAGAAGGGGATGCGATAGTTCACAGCAATGGTGTGGTGCACACCATCTGGGGATGGACACACTGAAGCTGCTCACTTGGGCAGATCAAAGGCAATACACGTAACCTAAACATGTGTACCCATGGGTAATATGCTGAAAATAAAAAAAAATAAAAAAATAAAAGGAGGTGTATGAAATGGTTCCTAACATCAAACAATAATAAATGCTGAGTGCTTATGCTAACCCCAATTACCGCGTATTGGATTAATACACATTGCATGCCTGTATGGAAACAACACATGCACCCTATAAATATATACAAGTATCATGTACCCATGTTAATGAAAATAAAAAAAAAATAACAAAAAGTAGAAATGTTCTGAAATGAAGCAAGGAATCCAGGCCTTTGTGACTGCATTGAGAAACCATTGTTTGATGGATCACAACCTTAGGCAAGGAAGCCCCTTCCAATATTGGGGCAATTTTTGTTTTTTTTTTTTTTTGAGACAGAGTCGTCACTTGTTGTCCAGGCTAGAAGTGAGTCCGTAGGCGTCGAGCCTGAGGCTCACGAGCAACCTCAAACTTCCTGGCTCAAGCGATCCTTCTGTCTCAGCCTCCCAAGTCAGCGACTTTACAGGCATGAGCCACCATGCCGCTAATTTTTTATATATAGTGTCAGTGGCCAATTAGATTTCTGTTCTTTATAAGTAGAACGGTCTCGCTCTTGCCAGGCTGTTTTGACGACTCCTGGACTTGAGCAATCCGCCGGCCCTCGCCTCCCAAAGAGTATGGAATACAGGCGTGAGCCACAGCGCCCGGCCTAATAGGGGCAATTTTTGAGGAGGGACTCAGCTATGAGCTATGAGCAAGCAATACTCCCAGCAGCTAATGATGAGTGCCTCAGTTCTGAAAGGGAGAATCCGATTGACATGTCACATTATCATTACACTTAGTTACCTAGAATGTCTGCTTAATCAGTACACATATTTTCCAAGCACTGTGAATACAAGTCAGTGGAATTTATAACAATTTATAACAAGTCATGAGGCTTTGGGATTATATTGACAGGTGGGCCAATAGGTTGGGGCTGCTCAGAAACAAACAAACAAAGAAAAAAATGGTGGTATTGAGACATAATGTCAAGGGTGGGTGAAGGGGATAGAGTTTGGTGGATGAGAGCTCTTTCATGCCTTGTAATAGCATGGATAGGATCATGGGAGGTCCAGGCTAAGATACTAAATTCTCAAAGCCAAGGATAAATTTCAGTAGAATGTAAAAGAATAACGATAGAATCAGGATGAACTTTAACAGGGAAAAACATCTAAAATTCTGTCTCTAAGTTTAAAAATTATTTGTCTACACAAGAGCAAGCTGATTGCAGGGAAGATCATCCCAGCCATTGCCACAACCACAGCAGCTGTGGTTGGCTTTGTGTGTCTGGAGCTGTACAAGGTAGTGCAGGGGCACCGACAGCTTGATTCTTACAAGAATGGCTTCCTCAACTTGGCCCTGCCCTTCTTTGGTTTCTCTGAACCCCTTGCTGCACCACGTCACCAGTACTATAACCAGGAGTGGACATTGTGGGATCGCTTTGAGGTACAGGGACTGCAGCCTAACGGTGAGGAGATGACCCTCAAACAGTTCCTTGACTACTTTAAGACAGAGCACAAATTAGAGATCACCATGCTGTCCCAGGGCGTATCCATGCTCTATTCTTTCTTCATGCCAGCCGCCAAGCTCAAAGAACGGTTGGATCAGCGGATGACAGAGATTGTAAGCCGTGTGTCGAAGCGAAAGCTGGGCCACCATGTGCGGGCGCTGGTGCTTGAGCTGTGCTGCAACGACAAGAGCGGCGAGGACGTCGAGGTCCCCTATGTACTACGATACACCATCCGCTGACCCCCATCTGCTCCTCTAGGCTGGCCCCAGTCCACCCTTCTCCAGACCCCTTCCAGCCCAGGGCTCCTGTTTGGTTTCTGGCAATGGCCCACCTAGCCAAGCCTGGTGTTCCCTTGTCATCCCCCTACCTGAACCCCTCCTGCCACTGCTTTCTACCTTGTTTGGAATCCGAATCCTAATAAAGAATTATTAACCCTGAAAAAAAAATTATTTGTCTAGATATCAGTTCATATGACAAATATTTGAGAGGTTTGATTTACTGCAAGGTTTAGACATGGCTAACATGGCTGAGGAAAATGATAATGCAACCTCAAGCCCAGATAGTGAAAGGTGGCCTCACTAATAACTTATCTAACAGAGGAAAATAAACTATCTAATAGAAAGTAAGGGAAATAAGCTCACAGCACATTATTGCCCCTTTAAAGAAAAAAACTCACAACAGAACTACCCCCTTTGTTTTGTTTAATTAAAGCAGCTGTGGCCTAACTCATTATCTCTAAGAATTTCATTTTCTCAGCCTGGTGGCAGGGATGCCTAAGCAGACAGTAGGGGTGTAAATTCGCCGCTCCAGCTGTCTGCCTCAGTTCCTGCCCAAAACAGATTCCAAGGACTGTGATAAAGTCAGCCACAGAGAAGGAAAAAAAAAAAATGGAAAAAGCAAATATAGCTCCACAGATGCTTCTGTTACCAGTCTGCTGAAGCAGAGGAGAAAAACCATTTTTACTCTTTAAAAATGGCAAGGCACCTAGCCTTGGTGACTGGCACTTCCTTTCTTCCTCTGTGTGCCATGGCCACTCTCTCCTCCTCTCTCCCCTCCTCCTCCTCCCCTCCTCCTCCCCTCCCTCCCTTCTCCTCCTCTCCTCATCTCTTCTTCTCTTCTTCTTCTAACCTCTCTCCCCTCCTCTCCTCCTCCTTCTTCTCTCCTCTCTCCTCCTCACTCCTCTCCTCCTCCTCCTTCTTCTTCTTCTTTCTCTCTCTCTCTCTCTCTCTCTCTCTTTTTCAGGAAAGTAAATAAACTTTTTACTTTTATATATCCCAATCTCTGTGTGAGAAATCTTTCTCTACCCACGGCATGAGCACATAGTGAGCTTTCCACCCTTTCAGTTACTAAAAGTACAGGTCACTGCAAATAAAAGTTCTACTGTACTCTATGCTAACCAGACCTCATCTGTTCCCAGTTCAAGGCACATTATTATATAACATGAATACAGAAAAGTATATGAATCATAAGTATACAGCTTGATGCATTTTCACAAAGTACACACACCCATATAACTGCTAAGGTGACTAATTGCTCTTGTTTCCCCAGGACTATCCTGGTTTTAGCACTGAAAGTCTTGTATCCTGGGAAAATTCTCAATCTTGGGCAAACCAGACAGTTGGTTATCCAATCCTACTCAGATTAAGAAATAAAAAATTACCAGCACCTTAGAAGCCTTCATATGGACTGTCAGTCACTACCCACCCCTCCTCCCCAAAGGAAACCACTATGCTGACTTCTAGCACCATAGATTATTTTGAGACACTGTATTTTAATACAGGCACTATGAACTAAAGAACAGAGCTTACAACCTCATGGCCCATAGCTGAATCCAGCTGGCAGATATGTTATGTTTGAGTCATGTGATACTGGCCTGTTCAGCTTTTTTTTTTTTTTTGGACTTAATTATTTAATTTATTTAGTTGGTAGATAGTTTTGTTAGTTTTAACTCACATGTATAGATTCATGCAACCTCTACCACAGTCAGGATACAGAAACTAGTAGGATACTGTATTTACATAGACTTATAACGTGTCCACACAAATTACTTACTGATTACAGTGATGGAAAAAGAGTATCTTTATGACTACTTGTGGTGACTCACGCCTATAATCCCAGCTCTTTGGGAGGCTGGGACAGGAGGATAACTTGAGCCCAGGAGTTCGAGACTAGCATGGGCAACATCAGTAAGGTCCCATCTCTAAAAAGAAAAAAAAGTAACCTTATGGTAGTGAAACTTGTTATACATAACTTTAACCAAATGATCAAAGTTAACATCCCCAATACTACCAGCAAATATCATGTATCTCCTAACGTGACTGTACTGAGAAGGACACAACATGACTTATATAGTATTCCCACTAAAAATGCATAGCTTGAATGGCATCATGAGGAAACATCAGCAAAACTCAATTGATAGAAATTCTACAAAATAAATGGCCTGTACTATTAAAAAAAAAAGCCAATGACATGGAAGATAACTAAAGGCTGAGAAACTGTTCCAGATTAAAGAAGATTTAAGAAATGCAAAAACTAAATTTAATATATTATCCTGGGTTGAATCTGGGACCAAAATATTTGCTATAAAGAACATTATTGGCCAGGCGTGGTGGCTCACGCCTGTAATCCCAGCACCGGATTGCTCGAGGTCAGGAGTTCGAAACCAGCCTGAGCAAGAGCAAGACCCCATCTCTACTATAAATAGAAAGAAATTAATTGGCCAACTAAGAGAAGAGATTTCGAGTTATCTGCAGTTACATGAAGGCTTGACTGGACTAGAGGATCTTCTTCATGATGGTGCTCACATGGCTCTTAGCTGGAGTTCTCAATTCCTCATCACATAGGCCTCACTATAAGTCTGTTTTTAGTATCCTCATGACATAGCAACTGGCTTTCCCAGAGTGAATGATCAAAAGAGAGAATAAGGAGGAATCCATGGTACCTTTTATGACTACCATCACAAGTCATACACCATCATTATTCAGCCATATTGTTCTTAGTAAGTCACAAAGTCCAGTCCCACTTGAGGGAGCGTAATTGGGTTATACCTCTGGAAGGGAAAAGTATACGAGGCTTGTGGACATATATAAAACCACCACACACATTTTTTCCTGGTCCTTCTTTTGCTGAGGGCTAGACCTGGTGATATCTACAGCACATTATTCCATAACCATGAAGAGATTAATTGCAACAAGTCTGAGAAATATTAAAAACAGTAGATTTTGCAGTTGTGACCATTCCTAGATATCTACGCTTTGTCCCCTGTATTGATATTTTCATGGATTTATAAAAATTTCCTAGTTGGTATCAATCCTGAAGGTCCACAGGTCTACCTTCTATATTATAAAATGCCTTTGAAAGCATTTAGCTTCTGTTTAAATGTTCAATGATGGACCACTTACTACATTAAAGGGCCTTAGTTACATTTATAGATAGGTATATTATTAGGAAATCTTTATATTAAACTATGATCTGGGGTGGCAATCAGCAAAATCCAAATGTGGAACTCTACAGGATACATTACTGGTTTTTCAACAATACTTGCAAGAAAAGGAAGGGGTGGAAGACTTGTAGATTTAAAGAATAAGAGACACATCAAACAAGTACAGTAGTGCCCCTTGTTAGGATCCTAATTCAACAAAACCACTATAATCACACATACTACCACACAATACATGCACACACATACATACACACATAATTTACGAAACAACCTAGAAAATTTGAACACTGACTGACATTTGATGGTCTTGGGGTATTTGACCAAAAAATTTTAGGTATGATAATAGTACATAGTTATGGGTTTTTCTGAAGAATCTTTATTTAGATATATATTGTTAAATGTTTTTAATTTTTTTGGAAATATGTTCAATATATAGAAAGTTGCAAAATAAGTACAAAGAACTCCCATATACCATTGTACATTTTTATATTTATTATATTCTCTATCTCTCTCTTCATATATATCTATATATATGCATATACATACTATACACACACATACACCCAATATGTACTGATATCATACTCTTTACCCATAAATACTTCAGTGAATATTTCTAAAGAACTAAGACATTCACTTACACAACCACAATACAATTATCAAAATCAGTAAATATAACTCAGTATAATAGTATTATCTAATATGCAGTCCTTACTCAGATTTCCAATCATCTTAATCAACAGTCCCCAACCTATTGGCACCAGGAACTGGTTTCATGGCAAGACAATATTTGCATGAATGGGGCTGGGTGAGGGGCGGAGGCAGAGCTCAGACAGTGATAGGAGTGATGAGGAGTGACTATAAATACTGATGAAGCTGGCCCACACTCACCTCCTGCTGTGCAGCCCTGTTTCTAAGTTTCATGAAAGACAATTTTCCACGGGACCAGGGGGCTGGAGGCAGGTGGCGGTTGGAGCTCAGGCGGTGATGCACAGCTAGTTCTTACAGGCCACAGACCTGTACTGGCCACGTCGGGGTTGGGGATGCAGGTTTAATAATGTCTTTTTTTTTTTTTTTTTTGAGACAGTGTCTCGCATTTGTTGCCAGGCTAGAGTGAGTGCCATGGCATCAGCCTAGGCTCACAGCAACCTCAAACTCCTGGGCTCAGCGATCCTCCTGCCTCAGCCTCCCAAGTAGCTGGGACTACAGGCATGCGCACCATGCCCGCTATTTTTTGTATGTATATATATATATT